ATAAATGGGCTATTCCTCCTGAAGTTAATACTCCAATTTCTCATCTTAACAAGGCGTCAGCTAGTCGTATTGGTGATGCTCCTTCATTTAAGGCAGCGGTTCTCAACCTGTGTTGCATAGCTAGATTCCCATTGGCTATTTCACTTTGCAATAGCTAATAGCATACCAGCTATTGCACCCACCCACTGCTGCTGTCAATCAGCAGAGGGGGACCTGCAGTTCTCCATCAGGTCCTCATTTAGTGATTGACAACAGCAGAGGGCGGGTGCCATAGCTAGTTTGCTATTCGCTATTGCTATTTATTCAAAAATAATACTAATTTGTTTCCAAAAGAAAACATAAACCTTTTATCATTATTATTAATAATAAAAGCTGACACCCTCAGCTTGTGTTATATGGTTTGCCATTTTAGCTGTTACAGCAGTGTTTCTCAACCTGTGGGATTTCTGCTGTCCTAGGTGAGAGTCCTCCTCAGCCCTCTCCTGGCGCAGCAGTGTCAGTTCTCCCGCCGCGTCATCCCAAAATGTTACCGTTGGGGGTCACCGCAACTTAGCAAATGTTACCAAGGGGTCCCGGCCCTAGAAAGGTTGAGAACCACTGATTTAAGGATTCTACTGATAAAAAAAAAATGGAGAATCTTTCATTTATTTGTTAACTGGTTCGTCTCTTCAATGTTCCTAATTTCTCAGACTTTACCCACTTGAACAAAATCTGTTAGTGCTGATCATGCGACTGCTGGAGTTGATTCACATTTTATTGATTGCATTGATCAGATGATGACTGTTGCTTCTCATTTCATTTACAAAACAACAAGAGGAAATACCGGGGTTTCATGAGAGATATGACACCATGGCTTGAAGTTTGATAAGACAATTGTTTATTTAAATAACATATATATTGCAGATATACATTCAAAATTAAATGAAAAAATAGGGGCAACTACAGTTGCAACCGAATAAAAACCAGGGTTAAACTCAAAGCATAAACCCATTAGACATATTCAAACATAGCTATTGTGGATAAAATATGATATAAGCCCAATCCCTACGCGTTTCACAACTTGGCTTCTTCAGGGGATTGCAACCTACCCTAATAAAAGACAATATATTCAGTTAGCATGAGTCCACATGATTATTGAGTCTACTTGAGTTTATAAAGTGCACAGAGTATATAAGGCATGTCGTGGCAACAAGGGCGCAAGGCGGCCGACACAGCTCGTCCTCGGGGCAACTACAGCCTGCGGCTTCTCTCCTCACCGCTTGGCCATCTGACATGGCAGCTCTCCCTCCTCCGCCACCCCCTTCAGCGCTGTCCTCGGGATCCCCGCTGCCTGTATGGACTGAGGCAGCGGGAGTTCCGGGGAGAAACTGTCTGCTGAAGCCTGCGGGGGGCGCAGGAAGGAGCGCTGAGCGGTAAGGAGGAGAGAAGCTGTAGCTTTCAGGGCGGCCGAGCGGTGAGAAAAGCGGAGCTGCTGTCATCCTGTCAGTTTCAGGATGACGGCGGCTCTGTGCATGGCTGAGCGGAGGATCGGTAAATATCAGTGATATTTACAGATCCTCTGTGTGTGAAGGACAAACACTGGAGTGATCGTCTGATCACTCCAGTGTTTGTAAATAACTGGGGACACATAGTACTATGTGTCCCCAGTTATGAATGAACAGGATGTGATTTACATCACTTCATTCATGAATTTCTGAATAGGGAGAATCACTCTCTATAGAGGCCCCTCCCCATTCAGAACCTGGTGATAGTAAATGTTTTACAACCATCAGTTTCTGAATGAATGGGAAGCCTCTGTACTGAGTGCTTCCCATTAATTTAGAACAGAGGCTGCAGAAAAAAATTATTTTTCTTTTTTAAACGGTAAATGTCAGGGGTCTGTTTAGACCCCAAATATTTCCCCGAAACCCCCATCCCCGTTTTATCTGCAAATGGAATCTTCATTTGTAGTTTGCTGTTGCCAGGACTGGGTCACTGGTAAGGGCATCTTTAAGCTGTTCAAAGACTGTTGGCAGGTTTGTCAGGGGCTTTGCACTTTCAACAGTAGTAAACAGTGAGTATCAAAAAGAAAAGGAAAAGTTGGGATTTTGTAGGCATAGAAATGACAACCCGGGAAAAGTAATGAACCGTAAAAAATGAGTTTTAATGTTGATAATAGTATAAAAAGAGCTAGTATATAGCATAAAAATGAACAGCTGATTAGATTACTCCCTCTGTTCTTACTCCATCCAACCTTCAATTATAAATGTACATGGTGGACAATACATAATTGACAAAAGAGCATAAGCTGATAATACATTTAACGATAAAGCATCCCACAGTGCATAATGGAAAAATGGTATGGTTGATAGTGGAGCAGCAGCTACTCAACGTTACGCGCACACAGGCGCTTTTTCAGGAGAAGGGAAAAATTTTGTGGTGCAATTAGCCTTTCTGTACATGTTACTGCTGTATTCTTTATGCTCTCAATAAACACTATTATGGAAAAAAAAAATATTACCTACCAGTATTACAAGCTGACATGTATGTGTCCTAGGGAACCATCCGGGCACCACACCCATATAGTCCTTCCTGATGATGACAGGGATGGAGCAGGGGCCAATCACCAATATTGAGTAGGAGGTAGGCAAAACACTGGTACCTTAAATAAATGAAAGGAGATGGGGGGCCTAGTCAGATAGCCATATAGCGAGTGAGCCCTCTGTATAATGGGGAAATCTCCCTCCTCATATACAATAATAGGCCATAATAACCATATTCAAAGGAGGAATATAGCATCAATGGAAAGAATGGGACTTACATAAAGGTTTGCAGATCAGCAGATTGCTGAACCACCAGGGGGAGCGGCCAGACACGTCCATCCCCACCGCCTCCTCCACGTACCCCCAAGCCGCCCACAATCAGTGCCGTCGCCCCAGGACTGCACAGTGATGTGGGTGGCTTGTGCGGGCACTATATCGGCATCCGGCGCCGTGACGTCACCGCGCTAAATTTTATTATCCGTTCAATCAAACAAGAGCTAATGAATCCTGTCATCAGACAGCATCTGTTTAACACCAGCAGATAATATTACTTATATTAGATACTGTATATCATAACATCAAGCTTCCATCAACCATGTACACTTCTTCTATACCAAGGCAGAAGAATTACCTTATATTCTTACTACATATTTTAACAAATGTTACAAAGTAACATGATAGTATTATTTCATAACTACATTATCTATCATGTAGCAGCCACAACTTGGTATCTCTATGACCTCTAGTGGTTTACGACACAAATTTGTATCCTCTGAATTCCTTGTTCTTTTTAATGGATTCAATTTTGCTGCAAAAGAAGGTTATAACAAAACAAAGAAATTACTATTCAAAAAAGTATGTTACCTGTTCAGAGTTCAGTCCAAATGGTAGTAATGTCCTTAATTTAAATATCTAAAACACCTCTCTCCTGCAGAATCTGCCACCGCATGTTTGAGATAATCATCTTTTCTCTCCCTTGGAAAACAGATCAGTGTTCTAATGTTTGGATACACAAGTTGGTTTTTCTCCTTGTAATATTTCTTCGGCTCTCTTTTAATCACTTGAGTCCCTATGCCTTTTTTCCTTATACCCCTTGTTTCCCAAAACCAGTGCCTCGTTTCAACAATGTCCAGGTTTCACTCTTTATATCTTGTAGTTTTTGTATTCTTCCTTAACATATCTTATACATTGTTTTCGTGAAAGATAGGGCTACATTTGGTTGCAGGTTTGCCTACATACCGTATATACTCGAGTATAAGCCGTCCCGAATATAAGCCGAGGTACCTAATTTTAGCCAAAAAAACTGGGAAAAAGTATTGACCCGAATATAAGCCGAGGGTGGGAAATGAGGCAGCTACTGGTAGATAGATACCATTAAAATACATTAATATTTATTTAAAAGAAAAATAACCTAGCTCTGTAAGTGGAAAAGGGGGTACAGGGCTACATATCATGTACTACGGATCATTTAACCCATTCATATTAGCAGAGGATAATTGTAAATCTATTGTTCAGTGCACTCTATATGTAGTATATAGTACATGTACATATAGAGTGCCTGCAACAATACATTTACAATGATCCTCTGCTAACATGAATGGGTTAAATGATCCATAGTACAGGGCTACATACAGATCATTTAATACATTCATGTTAGTATAATTGTAAATGTATTGTCTGCACTGTATTAGCAGTATATACTCTATATAGAGTATATACTGCTAATACAGTGCAGACAATACATTTACAATTATACTAACATGAATGTATTAAATGATCTGTATGTAGCCCTGTACTATGGATCATTTAACCCATTCATGTTAGCAGAGGATCATTGTAAATGTATTGTTGCAGGCACTCTATATGTACATGTACTATATACTACATATAGAGTGCACTGAACAATAGATTTACAATTATCCTCTGCTAATATGAATGGGTTAAATGATCCGTAGTACATGATATGTAGCCCTGTACCCCCTTTTCCACTTACAGAGCTAGGTTATTTTTCTTTTAAATAAATATTAATGTATTTTAATGGTATCTATCTACCAGTAGCTGCCTCATTTCCCACCCTCGGCTTATATTCGGGTCAATACTTTTTCCCAGTTTTTTTGGCTAAAATTAGGTACCTCGGCTTATATTCGGGACGGCTTATACTCGAGTATATACGGTATATATTTTTCTTTCTAGATATTAAATAGAAAGAAACACACTTATTTTTATAGACCACACATACTGCTAACTGATGATACACCTAATGTGACCTTCCTTTACAGCTGTGTTTGCAGGTAGGACACTTTATAAATTCCATTGGAAAAATGTGTGAACCCTGACTAAAAGTTGTGTGAATCTTGTGTGAAAAACATGTATAAATAGACCCGTTAGTGTTTACTTTGAGATTAGGGACAGTGCTACTAAATTTTATTTTATCTTTTTAGGATTCCTCTTAATAAGTTTGCTGCTGGTAAGAAGGTACACAAGAAAACTAGCTTGAAGACCAAGATAAATGGGTCAACATTTAAAAGCAGCTTTGTAAAGCAGTTATTTAATCTTCATGCTAAAATGCGACTGTCTAAGGAAGCTTCCACCGAAGTTGAAAAATTGTAAGCATTTATTTTTTTAGTTTTAGTACTTTAACTTTCTTCTTCTTTCTTCTTCTTCTTCTTCTTCTTCTTCTTCTTTCTTCTTTCTTCTTCTTCTTCTTCTTTCTTCTTCTTCTTTCTTCTTCCTTCTTCTTTCAGAAGAACCCCACTGTCACATCAAAACCCTGGGTAAGTTTCATGTTGAATGTTATTGGAGCTTACAAAGGGTTAACGTTGAAGTTTTGTGTGCATATATTTTGTCTTCACTGGTTCCTCTGTTCTTCTCTCATCAAAATGCTAAATACATTTTTAAATAAATTCATGTTTTTATTACATACTAACTAACATGCTAACATCATGGCACCGTTCCTCAGTAGTGCTTGCAGTAGCCCTTAGCTCTGATGCAAGCTTGCTGTTAGTTATGCAAATATCAAAATGCCTAGATGGGTGGATGTAAAAATGGGGGGTGGGCCTTTTAAGTAGGCTGTAGCCAGACGACCCTAGGTAAAACCCACATATAATGATAAGCCTCCACGATTAAAAGAGCTGAAATCCAGTGACTGAAAAGGATAGACCATGCACAGTCAAGCTGGGTAAGAAAGGTCTAGAGAATGCTGGAAGTCCTTCAACCAGAAAATGAGGTGGAGTCCATCTAACCTGCTGAATCTTCTAGAAGAAACAACGTGCACTAAAATCAAAGTAAGCAAATTAACCTCCTTGGCGGTATTCTCGAGTGTGGGTCGGTGTTAATTTTCTGTACCATAAGTGGTAACCCCGAGCCACACTCGGGAATACACAACGCATCTCTTACCTTGTCCCTCGAGCCGTGCTGTGTCCTCCGGCCGATGCCGGCATCCGCCTTCCAGGTTCCGTCCTTTGCGAGCGTCTGCGTCGCTGGGGGCGGGAGATTCAAAAGTTTTAAAAAACACTGTCGTAAAGAAACCATGTTAGCTGCTGTTGCTGACAACTTCTTTTACAAAAGTCACAAAGTGGTCTATTGCCATTTCATAAGCAGTAGCTCACCACTCAAGAATGTAGATGATTGCTCATGATGGACTAAATGTAAACTTACATTTAGTTTACTAATTTGTATTGAGATTATAGTCCATCACGGGAGTGAGCTTGGAGCAGTGGCTACTTTACAACACGCATAGGAACAAGGGAGGGCAGTGTCAACACAAATTCAGAGATGATTTGAGAATCTACAGCTGATAGCAGGTACTTGAATGCACTTTTAAGATTGAACTCCTGTGCTTAGTGTCACTTTAACAACCCCATCTCTTGAAGACCAAAATGCTTTGCTAGAGCCTTACCTAATTATCAGAAATTCAGCTATCCTCTCATCAAATAGTGGAAGTGGAGAATAGCTTGTCAGACTGCTTCTAAGCAGTTTTCCACCTTCTCTCCTTTTCCTTAAGATTCAGTTAAAAAATTGTCGACTCAAGGTACCCAAGGTGGACCTGCCAGTATCTCACCTTGAAAAAAGCAACAGTGATTTTAGCCACAGATTCTGCACCCTTTAATGATTCCACAGAAAAAAAGCCTCAAAGCCCTCATTGAAATGGCTTTCTCCCCTAGTGGCACTGCTCTGACAAGTCTTTTACCCAATAGATCAGAGTCTTGCAATGGGAAACTTTTTCTGTGGATTCCCTCCAGCACCTTGTCGACCTGATGAAGTTTTTCTGTGGTGCCTCCCTGGCTGCAGGGTGGGTGATGGCTCACATGAGTAATTTTACTGTGGTTATTTAACAGGCACCTTTTGCTGACTTGACATACCAAGAATGGAATGGAAGATTATTTCTGGTATTTGTACATTTCTGGTCGTGCAATATTTCTGAGGATTGAGTACAGAAGGTGGAATCTACAGGACACACAATAGAGTTTATGTTCCCCCATCAACCTTCCAACAGGTTTTTTGCTTTAAAACCTCCCTTTCTCCAATCATCTTCCAGGCCAGCAACCTGAGAGATGATTGGCTCCTCCTACTACAGGAAACACAAACCAAAAAGAGGTTAAATTTCCTCCCTCCGTTTTTTGGTGTTTCCCACCTCCAGGGGTCTTGTCATGTTTGTTGTTTTCCTTGGTCCGGTCGGTCTTGAGATCGCTGGTCCCCCCCACTGTGCAGCTCTGCTACTGGGTCCTCTGTCGCTGGTGGTCTTGCTGTGGGTGCAGTGGGGTTTTCGTCCTTCCTAGTTTTTTCATGCAGGGGGAAGGAGCCTGCAGCCCCAGGCTGCGGTGCCATGTCGCTGTGGGTCCGGGTGCGGCGGTGAGCTGTGCGCAGGGTGTTGGAGCGCATGGGGGGCGTTCCATGCGTTCCAGAGTTCGTTTTAAGGGAAGTGAGGTCACTTCCGGCAACGTCACTTCCGCTGCGCACCTCTCTGCACGCTGAGACACCGCTCGAGGCTCGGAGCCCGTTTCAGGACCGAAGGGGGAGAATAGCCTTCGCTGCTCAGATGGATGAGGAAAGCAAGCTGGCTACCGCTGTATCCAGGTCCAAGAGTGAGGTGAGTCCAGGAGGGTTCCTGCGGGCCCTGCCTGATACGGTGTGATAGTGGTTTTCTGCTTTGGGGATTGTGTTGTTTACTGTTCTTTGTGGTTCTTGTCTTGGATCCTTCACCCACAGACAGATTGGCGTCCCAAAGTTCTGTGCCACCTGTTGCCCCAGCTGCCAAACAAACGAAAAAGCACTGTGTTAGTTGTTACATTAAACTTCCCACGGGTTATGCCAAATCCTTTTGTGATTCTTGTATGCAGAAGTTAGTGGCCAGTGAATCTTCATCCTTAATGAAAGGTTTCTTTGAATCTATGAGGTCTGAAATGGTGGCAACTATGCAGTCATTTAAAGAGATTGTTTCTGATATGTTGCCAGTTCCTGCCATTTCTTCTGTGACTCCGGAAATGCCCGGTCCTTCTGGTCTGCAAGTAAGGTCAGTACCTTTTACTAAAACCTGTGCCTAAAGAAATTCCTAAAGAAGATTCAGACTCTGAGATCAGTTCAGATAGTGCAGTGGAGGAGGGGGGAGACTGTTGGTGAAGATTCCTGATCTTCACGTCACCTCTTCCCATTGGAAGATATGGATTTCTTATTACACGCCATATATGCTACGGAACAGATTACGGATTCCCCTAAGTCAATTTCAGTTCAGGACCGCTTGTATAGGGGGTTAGTTTTCTGTTAGCTTCGGAACATTTATGCCCTCTAAGGAATAAATTGTTCCCTCCGTGGGATCTGTCTTTGGTATTTGGTGGCCTATCCAAACCCCCATTTGAGCCGATAGGAGAGGTCACCATGAAATGGTTAACACTTAAAATGGCATTTCTATTGGCCATCACTTCAGCGAGAAGGATTGGGGATCTACAGGCAATTTCTATCAAAGAGCCTTTTTTGGTTTTGTTACCAGATAGGGTAATCCTGAATGCCGGATCCTTTGTACTTACCAAAGGTGTCTTCCCACTTTCATAGATCGCAAGAGATCATTCTTCCTTCTTTCTGTGATAATCCTAAGAATGCGAGAGAAGAGGTTTTTCATACTTTAGATGTCAGGAGGTGTTGGTCACTTACCTAGAGAAGTCTAGATCTTTTAGACGATCCTCCCATTTTTTTGTTCTCCATTCCGGGCCCAGAAGGGGTTTGCAGGCGTCTAAAGCCACCTTAGCCCAATGAATTAGAGGGGTAATTACTTCCGTTTACCGGTCAGAGGGTATTGAACCTCTTTTTGGTTTGTGTTTCCAGTAGTAGGAGGAGCCAATCATCTCTCAGGTTGCTGTCCTGGAAGATTCATGGAAATCCCGTTATCGGTAAGTTTATAACGGAACATTTCTACGCAAAAAGCGAGTGCTCTGTTCCAAATGGTCTAGGGACTCATCACAGAAAGTGGTAGTTCTTTGCTTCCTTTGGAGTTTTTTCATGTTTTTTTATTCATAGAGAACAATAAGAAACATATAGAAACACTTTGGTTTAGCTAAAAAGGAGTAACACAAGTAGAATCACAGTTATAAAATCATAGTCACAGTTCAAATAAACTTGCTGAAGTTGTTGAGCACATGGTTTTACTTCATCCATTTCATTAGGTAACCCTATTTTAACTGTGTCTGACCTTCTTGGATGTGATTTAACGATCCTAGAAGGGTTTATGCATCTGTCTGCCGAATGAACTTCAGAATTTTTGATCTCGGCAGTAACCTTCAGCGAGTGAAACTAAAACCTAGATTACTAAAGCTTTGTGCCTCAGCCAACTTCACAAGGTGAGAATATTCTGATTGGGTTTACACCTTTTTAGATTAAATTGATACTCTTAGAAGCCCCTGAGTATTATTTTTTGGTTTCTTTATGTACTTCACTTTTTAGGTAAGACACAGGTTTGTTGCAAACTAAGAAGTTTGACCTCCCACTGAGTACTTTTGACTGTATGCTCTCCATGATTCTATGTTAGGATCTCTGTTGCTTTGACTATACAAGCAATGGTTTTTATTTATACAGTGCTCATTGTCAAAGTGGGACAAATCTGTTTGTCTCATTCTGGATCCCAAGGTGTTCAATACCGTTTTCTGTTCTTGAAAGTTTAAGTGGAGTTGGTTCTTTCAGTGGTGGCTTCTCTGCAATAGGGAGAATTTCTGTGGCTATATCCGTGCTTCACATTTCCTTTGCTTCACCGCAGATTACCAGCATTTCCAGTTTGTGGCACTGCTCTTCATATTAACTATTGCTCCCAGGACATTTTTGAAAGTACTGACCCTAGTTTTGATGGAGCTGAGAACCAGGAGAATTTTGGTGATTGTCAATCTAAGCAATCTGATGATTTAAGCATCATCATCTTGATTAGATGAAAGGTTGCATAGCGAACCACCAGAAGTAATCCTGGATACCAGACTGGATGAGTCTTCCTACCCAAGGGAAAACTAAGGACTTGATTTAGCACATTTGAACACGGAGCACATCGTTTTTTCCATAGATGTATAGTAATCCTGGACTTAATGGTGTCATGCTTCAATGCTATTTCAGGGAAGAGATCTTGGGAGCATTCACATTCTTCCACAGACTAAGGCTTTGCTGCTGCAGTGGCTTAGAATTATTCTCTCCAATAAAGTTTCTCCCATGACTACTGCTAAGGATCGAATCAGAAGGAATTTCCAGAAGGAATTGGTTCAGCCATTTGCAGATGTATAATGGCCAATTCTTGCTCAGCCAGACTTTCTGTAGTGTTATAAAATTACTTGTGAAACATACCAGTAAATTCACTTGTAAAATATTGTACAATATAACCACTTGATCAGTAGAGGCTCAGAAATAGTTTGGATAATCATTCTAATATCAATATTGTAAACAAATAAAACTGGTGTCATTATAGGTAATAGTAATAAAATAATAAAAGATCATAAGTACACCAATCTAATTGAACTACATGGGAACCTATGTGAATGCTTGGTAATTTGCCATAAGAGAGGGGTTTTGGAGGCCCCAGATGCCTGCACTTTATACCTACTGCATTTTTTTGTTCTGCAAGCAAATATCTCCTTAACCCTTTGTTTCACCAGCTACAGTTTGTAATAAACTGCATTATTCACATCTAGTGATTTTGACACACTTCTTTGACCTTTTGTGTACATATTGGCAGATTGGAAATGTTCTTGAACCAGATGACTGGTGATTTGGCTGCATATACTGCTCATGCTAACAGAAAAACCATAACACTTGCTGATCTGGAGCTTCTTATGAAAAGGTAAGTGTTTAATTTTTTATAATTTCTTAACTTTTTTTTATAACAAGCCTTAAAGGACATTTCCACCTTTTGTAAGTGATTTGTGTTTTTTTTGGTAATATAGAGGTGCAGGGGGGATGTATACCGTATGTGTGTGTATTGTCAGGAGTCACAGTGCTGTTTTTCATACTTTATTTAATAGACTCTTTCACAGGCCAGAGTCCTAGAAATTCAAAATTCCCTCCACAGGATCTTCAATCTCTACTGAGGGTCCTTTTTGTTATTTGCAGTCAGCTGACTCCTCTCTTCTCTGCTGAGCTCAGTGCGCTGACCCCTCTCCCCTCCTCATGAACTAGCGCAGAGAGGAGTCATCACATCTCATAGCTCTGTGTGTGTGTGAGGGAGATCTCCTGTCACTGTGGTTGTGTGTGTGTTGAAGAATCTCCTGCACTTCTGTCTGTAGACCTTCTCTCTGTGTGTGTCTCTCAGGTCTCTCCTTCTCAAGGGTCACATTATCTCACTGCTGCCTCAAGTCCAGGTTCCTCAATGTGAACATTTTCAGGGAAAAAAAGGTTTTTGTTTTTTTACATTATGTTATAATACATAATTTTTCATGTGTAACTTAAAAAAAAGTTTTTTTTGCAGCTCTGATTTTTTTAAATAATTGTTTTCACTTAACTTTATTATCACATAGGGGGGGATAAGAAACCCTCTATGTGATAGCAAAGAGGATGTGACAGGTCCTCCTTAATGTTACAGTCCATGTACCCATTGCACTCCTGACCGCTCATCCATTGAGATAAGATGTGTACGGTAGTTGACAGATGGCCACCGTCTCAGTGGTACAGAGGAATATGGAGATCGGCACTCCAATGATAGAATACGTCTATTTAATGACGTACGTGCAAAACATACTTATTGCGACGTTTCGGGGTCACGTAGGATCCCCTTCAGGCAGAACAAGTGAAATTTTTCAGTATTCTATTATTGGAGTGCCAGTGTCCATATTTGTCAGGTCCTCTTTATGGAGACTTCGGGGGTCTCCCAAGACCCCGAACGTCACCTAAGACCCCCCCAAATAAGCTGATGAAGCAGAGATCTGCTTCATCAGCTTCTGAAGCTGGAGAGTGACAGCAGAATACATCACTTCCGCATTCTGACACCGGAGAGAGGATCGGAGGGCTCGCACAGCGGAGCTCGGGACAGGGGAGGGGCGCACAGACCGGCACCTTATACAAGCTATCCACCGGCTCCGACGGATAGCCGGTGGATCGCTTGTATGTAAATAGACATCGCTGCCTGTTTTTACATTTTGCCAGTTTCCCGCACGAGTGGGTGGGGCTAACAGGCAGTCTTTAGACACATCCAAGAATCGGCCGACCGGGAGGTGGTTAATGTAGATTTTGAAAGCCGCTTGAAGAGTGCACAAACCCTCTCTGCCCCCCAATGTTGCTGCAAGCACTTAACTTATTTGATGTCTCTTGATGCGATCATCTTCATTCCACTAGTTCCGGACAGTCCCTGCAACGCTAGTGCCGGTCTCTGATCCACCACAGATCCCTTGTGTCCCACGGTGTCTGTCCGGCTTGTGTGCTCCCGGCTGAGTCCATTCACTGTCATTGTGTTTTCTCCCCCTCCGCTCTACTGCACCCGCACACTTCCTCCTTCACAGCCATTTGTGAGCTGGGAGTTTCTTCAGCCGGGAGCGAGTGGCGTAATTTAGGTATTTGCCTCCTTTTTTTTTTTTTTTTTTTTTTTTTTTTTTTTTTTTTTTTTCTCTCTCTCTGGAGGCTGCCATTACCGCAACTTCTTATTTCAGACTGGCAAGTTGTTATTAAAGTAATGAGCTCATCATCAGAACAAGGCAGCAGGTAGTTGCAGATAGGATGTCCGTTCCCTTGGGCTGAACGGACGTATAGTGTGCTTCTCTGCTTTTTATCTTTCTTTGTCTTGTCTGATGTTGCTATTGAGCCTTCTTCCGCTGAGACTGAGCGTATATGGTTCACTCCAAGCATCTTACATCTGTGGTGCCATAGGGCTCCATTATTTCTCAGATGAAAGTAGGTACTACCTATCTCTGCTCTCCTGACCAAATTTACTTTAGTATACCTAGGGGAGATCATGTGCATGTTTCTGGTTTGGGCTCCTTTCGGTCCCCTGCCAGCAAACTTGCAGTTCTCCACTGTTCTTTTTGAGATGTGCCCTGATAGTTTGTTCACTTACCCTGATTAAGTTGCAACCTGGTTCCCATTTGAAGGGGACTATCCACTATGGTTCTACATGGGTACCACCTTAGGCAGACTTTGCCTCTTTCTTTGGAGAATGCATCAACCTTTTTTTAGACCCATTGGAGGTGGTTTTGAGGGGCTACAAGATAGAGTTCTCCTCTGCCTACCACTTGGTTTGTGCTTTTACATACTTCTGCCTCTGCACAGGGTGGCATACCTACCAGCATCCTGCAACTTTAGGGGGCATCCACCCCATTTATGACCTCAGGACACTAAATATGTGTATCAGGCTCTGTGGTCTGTCCTGGAAACCACCAGGTCTGTCTTAGCCTTTTCCTTTTACCAATGTTTGTTAGCATGTTCAGTTTTTTTCATAGCTTGGCAATTCCTTTGTTTACTGTGGGTCTCCAGCACCCTCGTTGATTGTCCTTACTTTTCATCCCTTTGGGTCATCCCCATTCGAGGACAATTGGTCGACCCCTGTTGGGAAAGGATGTTGTTCAGTGTGGGTCAGTCATACAGACCTTGCTGAGGTTTGGCTGTTTTTCTTTCACATTTAGAAGCAGCGTTTGAACAGACTCATCACTTGGAATATGTGCGTCTCTGCTAATTCAGACCTGTTAGTCTACGAGTTATCTTATACCTAATCTCTGCATGAGCGTTTTGGAACTATGTGTGGTCTGTCTCGCAGTGGTTCCATGTGCTGGGTTCTTTACAGTTTCCACATTCTTTGGTTTCTAGATAGTTCAGTTCCTGGACTGTCCCTTTCATCGATCTCTAAGGCCCTAGTTGTTCTTCGCCTGGTGCCTTGGGTATCTCAACCTGGGCTCGGAAGTATTTTTCCTTGCATGACTGATGCCAGCCATTGAGTTTGGGAAGGAGTCCTGTACACCTGTGCGTGCAGGGAACCTGAAGCAATTTCACTTCCCAATCATTCTCTGTGTGCTTCACACATTTTTGGTTGTTACTACAATGCTGGAAACCCCCCTGAAGGTCTTCTCTTCAGGATTCAGTCTGCAATGCTATGGCAGTTACTGACTTCTATTTCTGAGAGGAACAAGTAGTTTTGCCCTGCCAAGCAAGGGAAGAGGGCTCCCGTGCTGGAACAGGCCGGTTCGTTACAGCCTTGCCTGCTGTTTTCTCTTGAGCGTGGACAGTTGACAGGCAGAGTACCTCGCTCGAGGGACATGTAGAATGTGCTGTTTTGGGGTGCCTTGATTTAACGACAAACTGCATTTTACATAACAGTTTTTGTACAATTGGGGATATACATAAATTCCAAGAAAGGAAAATTGGGATGGGCACGTAGGAATAAAAGTTAGGGTCTCAATCATTCTGCTACCGCCATTATTCTCACTAGAGTCCAGAAAGACTTGTCCAAGAGGTTAGGACAGGTAACCATTGTTCCTGCTTGTGTGTTAGATTTGTGCAGATAATTGCACAGAAGGTTTGATCACATGCCCCTGCCCCCACGCCAGCATGCGTGCTGCATTCCAATACAGTTGTGTCTGTAAAAAATAAGTCAAGGCAACTGGACCTGCTGTATTTTTCTTGAAGACGTTTCACTGGTCATCCAACCAATTTTCTCAATTCAGATGACCAGTGAAGCGTCTTGAAGAAAAATAGAGCAAGTCCAGTTGCCTTGACTTATTTTTTACAGATATACCATGACCTGGATGAATGAGAACCTTCAGACATATACAGTTGTGGGCAATAAATACCAGCAGTGGGCTTGGACTGTCCCAAGGGAAAATGACCATCAGGCATCCATTCATCCTTCAGTGTCACTTCTCCAAGAGTCCTTTTGTTGTTTTGATGATCCCCATCTGTCATCACAAAGCCACATGACTTGGCCCTGGGTTATTCTTTGTCGGGCATTCTTAGCTTCCTTCAGATGGACCTCGTTTATCCTTTTTTTTATTTATTTTGTATTTAGGATTTTTCTTTTTTTTTTTTTTAAGGCAGGTTTTTACACTTTGATGTTCTCACTACAGAGGCCGCTGGCCTCTCATTTTTTTTTTTATTAGACTCTGTTAAGGGTGTCTCTCGTACTTCATGGGCTTCCCTCCATCCTTCCATAAGATCTGTACTTGGCTAGTACATCATTCAGGGACATACCTCTCTTACTCTAGGGGTTATGTTATTGTTGCAATTTATGGAGGGTCTCAGTGCATGATACTGGAGAGAGGTCCCACACAGATGGATTTTCTAGTTTGTCTCTTGGACTGCCATTTTTCCTATGACTGCCCTTCTTGCCTGTATTATCTGTCTGATTACATGGGGTTCCCTATCTACTCCCAGTTCCCTTGGAGATACTTGGGTGGCTTCAGGGCCTTATGGTTTATATTGCATGTTGACCTGTTGGGAATTCTCTAGGCCATTGCGGTCTGGTTACTGTCTGGGGGAGTTGTTTGGTTTTCCCCCACCCCTTACAAAAAATTACTTTTTTTAGAAGTAATACTGCAGTTTTTGTTGTAGAAAATGCAGTTTTTGGACATGAAAAACTGCAATATTGCAGTGCAACTGAGGGATTACTGCAGTATATCTAAAATACTAGTAACAGGGTTATTCACAGAAGGGTGAAGAGTTTGGAGAAGGCAGGAGAAGTGAACAATCTAGGACAACATAGCTGAACTGGAAAGTTTTCCAAATCGGCTATTTTGGCCTTGTTCACTTCTCATGCCTATCCTAACTCTTCACCCTTTTGTGAATAACCCTTTAAAATACAACTGCAGTACAGGTTTCTCTTTGTAAATGTTTTGTCTTATGCACTTTATTCTACAATATAACTAA